ACGTACGACGTACGTACGTACGTACGTACGTACGTACGTAAGGTACGGTACGTACGTACCTACTACTACTACTCACTACTACTACTTACTACTACTACTCTCTCTCTCTCTCTCTCTCTCTCTCTCTCTCTCTCTCTCTCTCTCTCTCACACACACACACACACACACACACACACACACACACAGGAAGATACTACAAAACGCCTTTAGGCGAAAATGATCATTGATTTCGCCTACCCTCATCACCGCCCAAAGTTCATCACACGGTCATGATTGTCTGGTAGTGTTTCATTTTCATTTTTCCTACAAATCGGAAGGACCAAAAATTTCGAGCGTGTGTTCATCAAAAATAGGCGAATCTACGGAAAAATATCAAAAAAATATTTTACATGAAAACATTAACCAAAATACCACAGAAAAGTTTCGCGGGTATTTTGGTCAATAATTTTTTATGAATTATTTTTTTTATATTTTTATTAGGTGCGCCTCACTAAGATGTACACACGCTCCAAATTTCAGGTCATTCTGATTTGTAGAAAAAAAAATGAAAAATGAAATACTACCGGACAATCATGACCGTGCGATGAACTTTGGAAGGTGATGAAGGTAGGCGAAATCACAATTCATTTTTGCCTATAGGCGTTGGGAAGACTTTTCCATATATATATATATATATATGAAAAATGATTTTGTGAGCCAGTGGGCTCACAAGTAAAAATGAGTCCAACGGCTCAAATTGACTCTGGGCAGATCTAACGATCACGGATGCCTAATAATGTTTGAATTTTAATTTTTTTTCTACAAATCCAACTCACTTGAAATTTTAAGCGTGTGTTCATCTAAACTAAGTGAATCTTCAAAAAATATCAAAAAAATATTTTAAATGAAAAAATTGACCAAACTACCCCCATAAAGGGGTATTTTGGTCATTTTTTTGCAAATTATTTTTTTTTATATTTTTATTAGGTGCGGCAGGAACACACGCCTAAAATTTCAAGTGATTTGGATTTTTAGAAAAAAAAATTA